TAGACCTCAACCAAAAGTGAGGTCAACAAATAGACTTGCCTCTGAGGTGTTCTTGATCTAATTTCATTTCAGAAGAATGCTTTGGAGCTATACATATGAAATTCACTTCACGAAAGTTCCCCAAAATTCTTATTGTTTGTCTTCACCATTTTATGCCCTTAACTTTTGATTTCCTTATTCTCCAGATCATCCATATGAATTGGGATAGAGATTTATTTGAAGGGATTTTACAATGATAAACAAGTTGGCGACTCCTCACAACCCTGAAACCCATCGACATGAACGAATGTGTCTTGACAATGCATCCGGTGGTGGCAGCACCAAGCTAACCTAAATCAATTCTAAATCCAACGTGGATCAACCCTAATCAACTTAAAACAAACTTCGAGCAACCTAACCTGACCCGAGATAAACCAAATCAATTTTAATCCAACATAAGGCAACCTAAATTGCCTTGAACTAATTCAGGCTAACTTAGGTTAACCTGAATCAAACTCAAAATTGACAACAGTAACTCAGGTTGATGAGTGTTTAAGCTATCATAAGAGAATAAAAGCACACTTAACTTTAAATACATCCTGGAGATAATAGGGGCTAGAATACAATGTTTATAATAAACATAAAAGACACAACATAAAATACAACCTAAAAATCATTAAAACTTGAACTTTAACCATAAATACAACCTATTTTGAGAAGGAACTTAGGAGGAGGCAACCCATGCCTGCTAATGAAGTACCTTTCAGTCAATCGTGACTAATCAAACCACAAATCTAATGATTCTGGGAGAACGGAACCATGGTATCTTGACTGGGTCATTTTAACATCAAAAATAAAATAAAAATCAGAAAATTTAATCAGCTGAGAAGTCTTAATAAAACTAAAATTTTTAACCCCCTAAAACCCGAAAAAGTCATTAAAACTTAGATGAAACCCCAAATGAACAAAGATCACCAAATGCAACTTTAACCATATTACCGGGATCTACGAAGATCTCTTGGAAGACGCAACCCATAGTTGTTGACAGAATTCTTCCAGCCGAAGTTGGCTTGACCACCTCTTCGGACTAAGTAGATCAGGGAACTAGACAATCCAGGTACAGAGGAAAGGCATGGGCATCCTGATCGGGTTGTCCTAAATGAAAATGATATTAAAAAAAAATGAACACATTCATCTCTCTTATATTGAAATGAAGCACACTGGCTTCGTTTTGCAGGACTGCTATCGAGACAACCTACAAAATGTCACCTTAGATTTAATTTACATATTATTTGGGTGTGCTAACTCTGTTTTGCAGAGATGCTTTAAATAAATAAGCTGATGTAGTAACCTAGGATTTTTCCTTTGAGATGTTTCTTGTAGAGTTAGACAGTTTTATGGTCAACTGACTATAAACATCTGCACTATCCAAAAGAAGAGGAAACACGTGTGAATGATTAATCTTAACTAAACCATCAATGGTAGTGCAGCTAATTTCAGTTGATGAGACATACATAAGTTAGGTTTGGTACCCATACTGTCAGTTTGTCTGTATTCATTCGAAAGGTTTGCCCAAAGTATAGGCTGATATGTACCTTTTTTTATTTACCTGGATTACTGGTAAGCTCACCTAAGAACTAAATCTTCTACCCCAACCTAAACAACTTCAACATAAATTTTCAAAATAAAACTCATAACCAAAACTAAACCATATAAATCACTGCATTCTCAACCATAGAAACATCATAAATCTAAACCTCGATTTAAATCAAATAAAACAGAGTATAAACTCTTGTTGGATTTATGAATATGAACAGTAACATGATCTATAAACATAAGCATAACTAGTTGTTTCTATTTCTTGTCTTCAGACCCTCACTCATTGCACGAAAATGGGTGGTTTGACCCGCGAGAACCACTGCCTTATAGCGTGAGTTATGTCTAAGCATACTGATTGGCCTTTTGAAACAAACATTCTATGCATTTATCATCAAAGACTTCCACAACCCATTACACAACTTGCTTCGACACCAACTAAAATTCAATGTTTGAGTGTAGTGAGGTATAAAACATTTAAATTTGAAATTTCAAAATATATTTGTATTAGTTTTAGTACATTATGCATTTCATATATACCTATGCAGTTTGATTTATAATTAAGTCGTAATGCCTTCAACTTCTAATAAACAACCCACCCTATCTGACATCATCGAGACCAACCATGCATGGTTTTGAATGCGATTAGGTGGTTTAGAAGTTAGCCCTTTCCATGCAGGGTTGTAATTCCATTGCATTGTATGCTCTACCTTCTTTTAGATTATGGCTCTGAAGTTTCACTTCTTCTCGGTGAACTTCACTCTAGGCCTTCAAGGTCCTTCGTTCAATTACAACATAAATCATCACATTTAGGCTCCTACATGATTGTACGACATGCAGTTTAACCCTAAACATTCTAATAGAACCTCAAAATGAAACATTAAAATCTTTCTTCAAAAAATGACATAAAGTCAAACAATAGGGTAGTTCGGGTTATTATTGAGTTTTCCTATGCATCTTTAAAGTATTATGAGTTAATGCTTATAGTTTGCAATATATTTTTAGTTACATCATATGATTGTCAGTTATGCCCTTATTACTTCATCTTTCATATTTTGTACTTATGATAAATTTTAGTTGAAGCTCATTCTGAAGTAATTAGATATTTTATTTTATTGTTGTAAAAGATCCTGCATATTTGAATAAATTTTGCAAGTATAATACTTTCTTTTCAAGCAGTTTACTTTTATGAGTGCATATTTGTTATATCTCAAGCATGTTTGAAATAACATATTACTTACATATTATATCTTTGAAAACTTTTGTATGTTTTGTGTATAATGGTATGTAGGTTGACAAAACC